TGTTGTGTCATCCCCAGCTAAAGCACCGGCTTCCAACAAGGATCATTAAGCACAGCGTGAAGAGAGTTGATTCTCCTGTGAAAAGAATGGATAACTCGACAACTGCAAAATCCAAACCTTTGATTCCTCCCAAACCTACTCTTCCCAAAATCGCATTGGAAAAAAAGAGACAAGTATTTAAAAGTATCTCCTTAGGAGAGGATGTTGGGAAACTACAAACTTCAGTGGTGCCACAGAGACCAAACTCTGTCGATAGTAGATTAAAGTTAAACAGTGCAAACTTCCCAGAGGGCATGGTATTGCCATGCAATGACTTACATGAGCAGCATCAAGACATTAATGGAAATACAGAGGCAAAATTTGTACCTCGGCCAAAACCAAGATCAAAGTTAGAACCACACACTTCATCCACCAGAAAACAGAAAATCACATCCACGAGAAGATTATCCTTTAACTTGAATTCAAAGAGATCCCTCCAAAGTATGTGCATTTTTCTTTTTTTTTGCTTATTTTTGATTTGAGATCATTTTGGGCTCTTTCTGAATTCCTGCTTGTTCTTCCCAGGTATAATTGGGTCGTTTTTCAGTTTGCATTTTCTAGAGCAATAATATTTAACCTGTAAGACTTGGTAAACAGAGACACGTGGAGTAAGGGAACTTTCCTAAGGTTTTGTTCTGTTTGGCTATTATTATTTTAAAAAAGCATATTTAGTTTACATCCCATAGATAATCAGAGGCTAATAGCATTAATAAAGCTGCTCAAATGTCAGAAGCAATTTGACTTCACCTATATCAATCCTAAATTAAAAACTAAATATAAACTAAATTAAAATGTAAATATTGTAAGCTTACCTTGACTTTGCCTTGCTTTTTCTTTCTCCATTCTCTTGCTCTCAGTTGTTTACTGAGTTACTAAACTGCAGTTTTAGTATGGCTGAGAACAACAACAATAAATTGCATTTATATAGCGCCTTTCACATCGGGAGGAGATATCGCACTCTGCAGGATATTTACCCACTGAAGGAGTTATTTTCTCAAAATGACTGCTTCAGGTGCGTGGTTGAGTTAGACATTGAGGAGGGTGATAACATTAGGTGGCTTTGGTTGTTTTCAAAACAAACATTAGATGTAAGAGGAACTATAATCTGATGCAAGGCTCGTTGGTGTGGATGGAAAGTGCTTGATGGTACATAATTGAACAAATGTAGAAAACTGATGGAACATTTTTCTTCTTTGTTACAGAAAAAGTTGGCTGCACCATCATAAACAGAAGCTTTCTGTCGAAACTCCTGATGACGACATCAGATCCAGTCAGCTTGAGTGCCCACCATGTTGCCCGTGTATCTGCCACCTTAGGAGTCAAATCAATGCACATATTCCAGATGGTGGAACAGAAGAGGTAAGAGCTGAAGAAAAGAAAAGCCAAGGACTTGCTGCTACCTCAGAGACCATCTCTCCTGCCTCTCCTCTCAACCCTGCCAGCCTCCATGCCAATAATGGAACGAGCATTAACAAGCTCTCTCCCAGCTCTGACAATGAGGTCTCCAGCCTGCAAATGTGGACCAAACTCTCAGATGCACCAAGCTCTTCCATACTCCAGGAACCAGAGATGGAGCATTATGAAAAGGACTTGCCTGTTAGACAACTCATTACTCAGACATCGAGTAGTAGAAATAGCCCACTCAACGTTCAAAATTCACAGCAATCCAACGTGACAAAGGATGCTAACCCAATGAAACAGAAGCTAAAATAAAGTATAGCCCCTCTTCTAATAGCTGCTCTCACTTATCGAAAGATGAAGAGTTTTCTAGTTACTCTGAACTGGAACCAATCACTGCAACAGAGAGCAGCACTAAAGCTAAGAGACAGAGACCAGCATTACTGCCAAGAAACCAACCCAAATCTGAGCATTTTTCACAACTGTGCCTGCCTTCAAAGCCAGAGGAGAACACCCAGCTAATGGACACTTTCGCAGGTAGCCACACTTCACCAGTACAGCCTCACAGTGCCAAACTGTGATCATTTGCTCAAGTTGGCAAGTTTGCAAGGGTTAAAACTGTACTTCACTTCTACTTTCCAATTTTCTCCCAGCTCTTCTGAAGGCTCTGTATCATTCTATGGTTCCATAGGTGTTGGCTAGCATCTGTTGTCATGTCCAAGTAACCATCCTTTAAGTGTAAATTGGACATCAAGTGTCAGGAGGCCATTTAACTGTGCGTGTGCATGTCTGTGCATCCGTGCGTGTGTGTGTAAGGGGGGAATCAATGTTGCTGTAATGGAAGGTTTCGAAGAGCTATCAGCTGGTAACCCAGACCCATTTCCTTTGTTACTTCTTGTGAGCATGTACCATTCATCTTATTTTCCTGCCCTCATTTTACATTTGCCAATATTAAGTGACATTGGCCACTTCTCAACCAAACTATCCAGATTGATCTCTTCAGATCCCTCTGTATTTTGTCTGTTTGTTTCTTTTCATTAGAAACCCCACCCACTTTAGCATTGCATGCAAACTTGATGAACTTATATTTCAATTTCCAAAGCTAACATTCTGACGACGTTCAAAAGTGTAACGATAAGTGAGGTTGATTCTATCTGTATTTCAAAGCACTTTGGTAATCTTTGTGTCTGTATTAATGAAGCTTGACTTAACTTCTTTTTGCTGAATGTATGCAGAGACCACCGAGGATTCTTATAGCGGTGAGAGGGAGTACATGGAAATAAATGATAATGATGTAATTTATGGTCACAAGTTGGACACTGTTCCCCCAGCACCAAAATTACCTCTACCACCATTGCCATCAAAGCCCCTGTCACCATGCTGTAAGTTCTAGACTTTTTACACTGTATAATCTAGGTTCATTTCATGAGTATTATTTTGTTAACCAGACGACATGGCCTACGATTAAAGGGGGTAAATTCATAATGAATCTACGCAAACATTATTTCAATGAGTGAATAGTGAACCTGTGGAACAGGCTCCCTAGGGAGACAGTTGAAGCAGGAAGTGTTGATTCTTTCAAACACAGATTAGATAGTTTTCTTTTAGGAAATAACATTATGTGATATAGTACATATAGGTAGTTTGGACAATATGTGCATGCGACCGCCAGGAAGGTGGAAGGCGAACTATATGGACCTTGGTCTTTGTTCGTCTAGCATTTCTTATGTTAAGTGCCCATTGCAACAAGTGGTGGGCATCAGTATGCTGATGTAATGTAGCGCTGTTTCATTGAGTCTGGAATGTTAGGAGGGAAAGGAATGAGGTGATTAATCGGGATATTTTATGCACTTTCAGGTGAAAATGAGAACAGAAAAAACAGCATTTTAGAATCTTCTCAGGACAATAGGTACGTATTTTTGTATTTGAAGTAGACTTTTCTCACTGCCCAGATGTATGACTGATTTTAAACATTCCAAATGGTGCTAATGACAAGATTTTCCTACTCTTGCACTGGATCAGTGCCTTGGGACGTCCTCCCGACGTGAAAGGCGCTCAATAATTTTGTTGTTGATGTTGTTGTTGGATCCATGCCACAGATTGATGTTCTGTAAACTCGCCCTATTGTTTCACAGCAATCCGTATCTTCTGACTGCATTTTTCACCCCAAACTACAGGCACAAAACTGAGTGGCAATAATAATAATAATTAATAAACCTTGCGTTTGGTATAGTGCATTATCACATTGTTGAGACTCCTCAAAGCGCTTCAGAGTATATTGGAAAATGAATTGACTGTATTTTGTGGGTGAAACATGACAGCCAATTTCGCACAGCAGTGTCCAAACAGTCGTTGATTGAGTGACCAAATTAGTATTTTTTTAAGAGAATTTTATACCCGGAAAGCGATCTGCCTATAACTAACAACTGGGTTCCTACTTACTGTTGGGTAAACAGAGGCGCGTGGAGAAAGGAAACTTACCTTAGGTTTTGGTCTGTCCGGGAACCGAACCTGGGTCCTCTCACTTGCGATGCGAGTGCTCTAACCAATATCCTGCAGGACTCCACAAGCTGAGTCGAACTAGGCTATGCTAGTGCCACTAAGTTTTAGGGCACGTAAGATGTTCTGTCCTCACTCTATTCCGCAGGCCCATAGCACAGGTACAGCAGGTCATAACAACTCAGTGTCACCTTCTGTTTGTTTGCTAACTTCATTATCTCATGTGTGTTGTTCAAATTAGTGATCATTGAAAAATGAAGCCAAATCCAAGTTCTAATAAAAATTTTTTTTTCAACCCAGACAAGCCTCTCTCACAATACGTGAGAGAAACTGGACATCAAGATTCGCTAATGGTAAGGAAAAAACAATCAGGGTGCATATCACCACAAAATCAACTGCAGTATATCCTCACCTTTGTGTTGTAAGAGGGTATGGGGGAATATAGCCTTGATGACAAGTCCGGATAAAACTGAGGAAAGGAGAAAGTTGAGTGGGGCAGAAACAAGGGTTAGTTAGGGTTAAGTGAAAAACGTATCTTCTCTGCCTCGGCTCAGTTGGCAGCATTCCTGCCTCTGAGTCAGAAAGTTGTGGATTCGAGCTCAATGTTGGGTCTTTGAACTCATAGTCTAGGTTGACACTGTACTGTACTATTCTGGGGAGAGTGCCTCATTAAGCGCAATATTGCTGTTAAACCAAAGTCCCGTCTACCTGAAAGGCTAATGTAACTTTTCTTGACATGGAAACCGATCGTAGTATTCATATTTTGAATGTATTATTAATTTCAGAGCCTTTTTATCAGGCCTACAATCAAGCTTCAATCCTGAAGGAACTGAAACACCAGCTAAGTTCAAGACTCATGAGCCAGGCCAGCAGAGCGGACCCCGATTCGCCAAATGACAATGTGGTCGTGAGGTTGCCCTCACAGCAGAAGAAAAAGTCTGATGACGACACAGTGTTACAAGCTGATGATGTCAGGACGAGCAGTCCCTTGTTGACTCCAGTGAAGAATAAAGTTAAACGTAAATTCTCCAGCAGTTCGACCACATCGCAGGCTGTTGATGTCAGGATGTATAAAGAGGAGGCTGAAAAACCAGCCCCCAGTAGTTGTCCAGGCTCATCGACTGATATTAGGGTTGATCGAGACTTACCGAATACGTGGAATGAGGCCCGAGGTGAACAGGGATCAAGTTTGCCATCTGAAGATGTTAAAAAATCAAGATTCAGCTGTTGGCAGGAGATGCCTGCGGTGAAAGAGAGTGGGGCTCTCACTGCTCTGACTAGAGCAGAAATATTACTTCAGGAGGTTTGTAACAACAGAAATAAGACCAAAAAATGTCTGTCTTACCTGAGTTACGTTTGCTTGTAATTGGGACGTGGCCCTAAGTCACACAACCCAGGAAGATTCCGGTTCAATTACTGATCTGTAATGATTGTTGATTGCTGTAGCGTATGGAGGACTAAAACACTGCCCCAGTCTGAGGGAAGAGAAAATTCAGATGAGGTTCCCTCTCCTGATTGATAATAATATAATAATAATAATCCTTGCACTTGATATAGCGCTTTTCAAGTCTTCTCGACGTCTCAAAGCGCTTCAAAGAATAGACTGTAAAGTGAATTGACCGTATATTTGCGGGCGAAAAGTGGCAGCCAATTGCGCACAGCAGCGTCCCACAAACAGCCGTGGATCGAAAATAACCAATTTATTATTGTTTTGTTTTTTGGAGGGATTATTATCAGGCGTGTGGATGAAGGAAACTTGCCCAAAGTCTCGCCCTGCCTGGAATTGAACCCAGTATCTCGCTCGCAAGGCGAGTGCTCTAACCACTGAGTTACAGGACTCTCTGGTGAATTGCTAGAAAGTGCATTGATGTGGATATCAGATGAGCACAAGATTGGCTGGCGGTAGTTTTGTTCTTAATGGAACACTCTACTGAGCCTGACAGTCGTGCTTCATTTATGAAGCATGACTTCTTTACTACACCAGCAACTTGCATTAAAATAGCGCCCTTCACCCTGGGCAGCATCTCTGAGTGCTTGACAGTGTCGGAGACTGATGCCGAGCCAGGGAGAGGGACCCTAAGCATTGTATCATGCAGCAGGCTATTAGATTATGGAATACTTTGCCTCAGGTGGTTATTGAAATGAATGCCGTAAAGATATTTCAAATGGAATTGGATAAATAGGGGAAGAATATAAAAGGGTAATATAAGGGAAAAAGCTAGTGGAGGAACTGGCAGCATGTAATCTCGATGAGCCAAATGGCTCCCTTCTGCGCTGTAATTTCAATGATTTTCGCTTTCAGAGCATGTTTGAAGTCGTTACATCAGAAGCCTCCTACCTGAGGAGCCTCAATGTTACCATCGACCACTTCATGGCCTCGGGAGAGCTCAGCCGACTGCTCACCAAACAGGATAAGAAGATATTGTTTTCTACAATAACCAAAATCCAGCAAGTCAGTGAGAAGTAAGTGAGCAACTTGATTATTTTCAATTTTTTGACAATTGTATCCTCTCCTTAAGACATAATTGCTCTACAGTGACCCTCCAGCACCTCACCCAGGTGTCTGTCAGCTCAGATATGGGAAAGGCTATTCAACGATACTAAGCTATATCTGATCTGGAAGTCATTGATAGTGCAGTGAACTTTCATTTCTATTGCATCCAATTTATGGTGTACCAAACCTCGAGGTGCTCAGTGAGACAGTGTTGATGGAGCACATAATTGTGTTTTGTTGAAACCTTTTGCTGAAAGAACAACATGGATAATCAGGTGAATTTAAGAGCTTTTTAATATTCTGAATGACTGAATCATATTAACTTTCTTCCTTCCTATCTTCCCATTAGTTTCCTGATTGATCTGGAATGCCGCCTAGACGAGAATCCTGTGATCTCGGATATCTGTGACATCACTGAGCACCACGCCAAGCACAGTTTTTCTTCTTACATTGACTACGTCCGCAACCAGCCCTACCAGGAGAAAATCTTCCTCCAATTTACGTGAGGACCTGTACCAGTGAACCTCTTCTCCTGGGAGAAACAATAGCGCACAGATTAATTTCAATCTAATTTGTTTAACTTTTCCAACTCCCCAGAAAAGCTAGGGAGCAACTGGTTGCTCTTTACCCATACTATTTAGTCCATAATAAAATTATTAGGACATGCTCCACTAGAATTGAATTAAGAGGATTTAAGACAAATTTAAAAAAGGAAAATATAATAGTATGGTGAAAGGCAGGGGTGTAGAACTAAACAGATAGCTCTTACAGAGAACTGGGGGACACCATGGGTTGAATGACTTTCTTGTACTGAAAAAAAAATTCTATAATTCAAACCTTAGAAACCTAATCTAAGAAACTGAGGAGTTGAGTTGTTAAACTCATTTCCTCTAGGTTAAGGATAATCCTGAAGCCTTATCATTCGTACTTTAAAATCAATCTGTTTAAAAGGAACTGATTCCCTTCTGCAACCCCATTATTTTAGTTGAATTCCAAACCGTGACATTGTATTTTGACATGGGATTGTTGGTAATTTTATTTTTTTATTTTATAATAAGGATGGTAGAGAGGTTGTTTGTAATATGTTTTCCTTTCTATGAATTAATTCCGGAACTTGTGCACTATAAGCCTAGTATATTCCCACAAATCCCTGAAACGTTTTGAGTGTGGTATAACATAGACGAGAGCTGGAAGCCTGCAGATAATCTTCATAGACCCTGGTTCATTGAAAGCTTCTCCTTTTCTTTGCACAGTGTCCTCTGCTGGATTCCCAATTTACAAGTGCACAACCAATCAACAACATAATAATAATCTTAGCATTTACCTTATCAAGTCAGCTAAACATCTCAAAGCACTTTACAGCATCGTTACAGCAAAGTTTAATGACTGTGTATTTTGCAGATGAATATAGTTTCTCGCTGAATATGTTGCTTTGGGAAAGGTGCAGTTTTGTTGATTAATTTACATGATCACCACTACAAGCCTTAAATGTCAAATGATCTGCACAGGAAAGAGAAGGCTCAGTTTACAGAGGTGGTTAACAAGCTGCAAGAAGACCCCATCTGCCACAGACTGCCACTGAAATCTTTCCTTTTTCTGCCATTTCAAAGGATAACCAGATTAAAGATTCTAGTTGAGGTACGTTCACATTGTGTCCATATCTGTCTGGACATCCATGGTTCCTAGATTATATGGATATTCCCAAGAAACTCCCAATTCTTTCTGTATGAAATTCCTGTTTTCCTTGGCAGATAAACAGCAACAACAACAACAACAAGATTCCATTTATAAAGCGCCTTTCACGTCAGGAGGACGTCCCAAGGCGCTGCACAGTTGGGTCATGACCCGAGCAGGGGGGAAATGGTCAGGGTGAGGGGAGGGGAGGGAGCGAGGAGGGGGGAAATGGTCAGGGTTAGGGGAGGGATGGGAGGGAGCGAGAAGGGGGAAGAGAGTCGAGAGGGGAGCTGAAGGCTCGGTCAAAGAGAAAGGTTTTGAGACCGGCCTTGAAGGAGGAAAGGGAGGAGGCGGCGAAGGCACTGGGGGATAGAGTTCCAGAGCCTCGGGGCTGAGAGGCTGAAGGCCCGACCACCAATGGTAGGGCGATTGGGGCGGGGGACGTGGAGTTATATAAAGATATAACACAAGAGATTATTCTGCTCCAAAGTAGTGAGTTCACTGATATGGTTAACTGCAATTTTCAGTTTGGAGTAGCACAGGAATTTCTCCCGATGTGCTTAGTATTTTATTTCCTGAATCAGATTTTATGTAATTCCAATTAAATTAAATATATTAGATGGCCGAATCAGCCTGTGGAGCTAAGGGGCCTCATGTTGTGTTTCACTCTTAGAATATCCTGAAGAGAACAGAACAAGGATGCAACAGGGAGAAGATGGCAGCAGCAGCACTGAAGGAGGTCTCGAAGGTAAACAGTGCATCTGTTTTGCACAAAGCGTAACTTTTATCTTTGAATTGTACACAAAATAGATCACCCACCACAAACTACATCAGAACTGCTGTATCAAGGTGTGTGTTCCATATTCTTTAAATATGCGCCACAGTATCCTGATTTAAAGTGTACATTCCTTGTGAAATAATTAGCTCACTGTCTTTTTGCTTACACTTCTCTCTCTCTTTCTCTTTTTCTCTCTCTCACATACTCATGTGCACTCTTTTCCCTATCTATCTGTCAAGATTCCTGAGGTTTTATATAGTGATGGTGTTATGTAATGCTGTTGAAGCTTTTTCTTTTTGTCTGTCTGTCTTACTTCTTGCCTCTTACTCTCTCTAGTTCCTAATGTACACTGTACTCCTGTCTAAGATTATTTTCTCTTTCTCCATTTCTTTTCTTTCTCACTGCCATTCTGTGTTGTCTCTCTGTGTCTGAATCACCAGTGTAATATACACTTTGTGTTCGTGTGTTAAAGCGCTCTGAGATGCCATCCAGCGTGGAGGGCGCTCTATAAATCCAAGTTGTTATTGTTGTTATCTTTCTCATCTCTCTCCGTTAATTTATTCCCAATGCATTGAGGTTCTCTGTTGAGGTAGTGTGTTGTGATTCTTTGCTTTGTGGGTTTCCAGTGAACTGTGTATTCATGTTGAGGGTTTTCTCTTTCTCTCCATTAAAACAGATTGTTGGGGAATGCAATAAGGAGGTGGGGAAGATGAAGCAGACTGAAGAAATGGTTCATATTGGAAACACAATTGAATTCACGAAAATGAAGGTGAGAAATGGCTTTAGAAAGCTGGTCCAAGAATTGATTGAATTTCTTCTTCAGTTCCTTATTTTCAACACAACTTTTGAACCATTCTTAAATATTTCTGTTTGCCAAGGATTGTCACAAACTTCTGTTGATGCAATGAACCAAACGTGAGAGATGTTTTTTTTTTATCCATTTGGAATACTAGCGGTGAACTCTTTCAAATTGTGTTAAAGGAACACTGTGCTTTTTGTTCAGGAGTTCAATACGGTGTCTGAACAATTATTTGCTGAACATGTTTGATCTTGCAAATCCTTTGGGATTGCATCGATTCTCCTGGTCTTTCAATTTTCTCAGCAGGCTACAAGGACAATTTTGTGTGAAATATGTCCCAGTTAGTCTTGAGATACACTTTGTTGCTATGCAACCCAAATATTCCACTTTCTGTAGGTGGTGAGGTATACTGCAACATGATGCACATAAATTTCAGCCTCAGTGACATGTCATTTCAATAGAACGTGCTATGTCTCCTGTGGAATATAGTCCAACATAACTGCCACAACCTGTGGGATATATTTTATATGAATGTGCTGTAACTTGAAGCCCCTGTCGGCTATGTTCTATATAACTGGAATTTTTTTTTTCCAGGCTATTCCAGTGATCTCTCAATTTCGATGGCTGGTGAAACGCGGAGAACTCTTGGAACTGTCGATGCAGGAGAAGTTCTTTCGCCTGAAGAAATTGTCTCCTGTTTATTTGTTTCTTTTCAATGACTTGCTTCTGGTGACAGTTCAGAAAGGGTGATTATTCTGTGTTATATTCCCCATTGATTTAAAAAGGAGGGGCTTGGGGTGAACTCTGTGAGGCAGTGCGTTAGAAAACTGACGTGATGAATATCTTCTTTATCTTTGGCTATAAGAAATTGTAGCCATGTGAGATTAGAGTGGACAACACTATCTCAGTTTCCAGAGGGTGTGTGTTCATAACATCAATCTGCCACCAGTTTTCCACTAAATAGCCAATCTCACTCAAAGGGAGCACAGGATGGCTAGTGAGGGGCATGGAAAATTTGTAGTAAAATATCTCTTTTGAGGCAAATTGTTAGAGCAGAGTATAGAAAGGATTACATTACAACTAACCATGTTAATGCTAGAAAACTAGATGCTGATGATGCCTAAAGGGATAAAGTGTTCAATTTCCCACCAGTAACATCGCTCACACAATAAACACAAAATTGCAGTCTATCGTACATTGAAAACTAAAATGAGACTTTCTTTCTTCCATATGATGTCTCGCAGATCTGAATCAGATCCACAGTGTTTATAATATTTTGGTTACTTATTTGTGTAAAATACTGAAAATTTGTTCATGCAGTTCAATTCAAGTATTCTATACACTTGGCAATAATTATTGTAAAGTGTCTGTGACATTTTGAAGTGTGGAGATGCTATAAAAATTCTAGTCAAGTTCTTTCTTCTTTCAGAATCGATCTTTCTTTAAAAAAAAGATGCCAGGTATAGTTTCAATTTTATTTGTTCTTGTGTTTCAGAGCGGACAGGTTTGTAGTACAGGACTACGCTCATCGATCCCTGACAGAAGTTCAGGAAGTGAAGCTGAATAGCATTGGTTCGCTGCAGGAGAATTCCTTTGTTTTAGTCTTGATTCAGAATCGCAGGAACGAGTGCTCAAAGCGTCTGGTTAAAGCATCGAATCCGTACGCATATACAGTATTAAAGTTTCTCTTTCTCAGAATGTCCAATTTAATATCTATTCTCTGGCCTGAAACTAAGTATTTAACCGAGACCGCCAAATTAGAATAATCCTTCAAGGTTTCAATGCATCACCTGCTGTGGTTCAGATACAGAAGATGACAGACTCTATTCCTGGTCTTTTTACTGAGCTATGCAATTTGTTGTTGTTGTGGTTGTTATATAAGTTGGTAGGACCTTTGCTGGATATACCATGATTGGCTTCAGCACCCCTGGAGAGGGAAAAAATCAACTAGGGTATCTGGTCTTGATCACTATCAGTAATTTTCCTGCCCTGCCTCGCCATGAGGTGCTTGTATAAATGTTGATTCAGCACTGAATGTGTCCAATAAATCTACAATATTTTGCATTAAAAAAAATTCCCAGTATCTTTTTAATTGAATAGTCTAAGATTTTCATCTTGTCAATTTGCTTGTGCTTGACCAGGAGGGGCATGTCTGACACGTAACATAGCCTTCTTGTGTTTGTTTGATGATAGGACTGAGAAAGCTCGCTGGATGGAGGCTTTAACACAGAAAAAGAGCAGTGAAAATGACAATGAGGAGTCTGAGTATGAGAAAGTATATGAGGATTGGGGTAAGAGAACAGACAAGTAATCCTTTATGGTGTATAACTTACCTGCAGGCAATAATGGATACTTGATACCAATCACAAGAAAAACCCTGAGGAAATAAACTAATAGTTCACATTAATGATGTAGTACAGTATGCAGTAGTACCTCACTGCTGTCAACAGCCACTCTTTCAAGGGATTCTTATGGAACGAATGCAAGATAAATGTGCTGTATTGGTTTTCTTAAATAAATAAAACTATTTTTGAAATCCAAGTTTGTTCCATTGAAATGATGTGCAATTCTGATGCTTTATTTCCAGACTGCCCTCAAGTCCAATGCCTGGAAGCATATGCTGCACAGCAAGCCGATGAATTGAGCCTTGAACCTGCTAATCTCATCAACGTTACTCACAAGACAACTGATGGTATGTGCAGTCTGTCAACGTTTTGGAGCAGGAAGATAGGACTAAGATTGAGGATGATGCAGAAAGGTGGATGTGTCTCCTAACACTACTCATATTATATATCTCCACAGGGTGGTACAAAGGCATGAGGCTCTCAGATGGTAAAATGGGCTGGTTTCCCAACAACTGCGTAAAGGAGATTATGAATGAACATGTGAGGAGACGGAATTTGTTGGAACGCTACCGAGTGTTACGAGCCGCAGAAGAATTACTTCAGATGAAAAACTGAACGTTTGCTGAGGGACATTATTGACCTGGTTTGTCTTCACCAGAACCTGATGACAATGGCACCAGGAGTTTCACATCAATTCAGTGTGTCACTGTCTGTCTGTCAGGCCTTCATTGCTTGTGTACTAAAGGTGGCTGGAACGCTTTGTATCGCAACAAACTCCTCTTCTCAATGTTCTCTTACTGGTGTATCTAATGGGTGACAACAACGGAGAGAGCTGGGAAAACCCAGCAGGTCAGGCAGCATCTATAGAGGGTCAGTTCTGACGAAGGGTCGTGGACCCGAAACATTGACTCACTTTCCTTTCTCCATAGATGCTGCCTGACCTGCTGAGTTTTCCCAGCTCTCTCTTTTTTTGTTTCAGATTCCAGCATCTGCAGTATTTTGTGTTTTGTATCTAATGGGTGAAATAGGTTTTGAAAGGAAACTTTTGCTAAAGCTATTTGCTAATATTTGTTCTGATATTTGTGGACTCTTGTCTCAGGTAAGATTTCAGCACTGGCCTTTTGTGCAAATGAATTACAAGAACAACAAAATTACATTTGTATAGTGCCTTTCAAGTCCGGAGGATGTCCCAAGATCCTGGACAGTCAGTGTTTCGGACCTGAACCCGGGCGGGATGATCGAAAGCACGGTCGAAGAGGAGGGTCTTCAGATGAGCCTTGAAGGAGGCAAGGGAGGGGGTGAGGTGGAGGAAATGCGGGATGGAGTTCCAGAAGGTGGGGGCAGAGTGGCAAAAGGCCCGCCTGCCAATGGTGGAGCGGGTAAGATGGAGGACATGAAGCAGGCTGGAGTCCGCTGAGCGGAGGGAACGAGCAAAATAGATGGGGTGGTATATCGAACCGATCTTTGCATGATCACTTTTCTCACTAGTGGAGGACACTGGATGTTACCTGTTATATGTCGCACATTCTATGTATTTCAGCATAAGGGTAAAAACAACAATGATTGTAATTTTTTTTTACTTTTTAAAAATATTTTGAACTGTGAAAACTATTAAAATGTTGGAAATGAATGGTTGGTATGAAGTCTTGTGCCAGTAAATGGAATCACATTATATGAACCATTAGGATGTCTGGAATGAGAAAAAGCAATTTGTCCCATCAGACCCACTCCTACACTCCATCTGTACCACTTTGTCACGTCCTGTACTTTCCCCATTGCATTCATTTGAACACCAATTACAAAATGATGGTGTTGTGTTCTGCCATTATCAAGTCCCCTACGCGCTACTCTGTGTGAGGGGCATTATATAAATGCAAGTTGATGCTGTTGTTGCCACCTATAATCTCTAGTAAGTAGCTAAATGTCTTCATGCAAAGTAATTGACTACGCTAACTACCTGCTTGCCGGACTTCCCAACTCTTCCCTCCACAAACTGCAGACTATTTAGAATTCTGCAGCTCGTGTCCTCTCCCACATTAAGCTCCATGAGCTGATCACTCCACCCTCGCCTGGCTTCACTGGCTCCCCCACCCCCAGAGGATTGAGTTTAAGATCTTCGTCCTCACCTTTAAAGCCCTCCATGGTCTTGCTCCTCCCTATCTCTGCAACCTACTAAAATGTTACCAACGTGTCTTGCTGGAGTAACGAATGGTTCTACAGACACTGATATCCCTTCAGTACTTCCCTCGTGCACCTATTTATATGTGAGCACAGATAGTGAGTGTTGGCAGGTTATTCAATTGTAGAGGCCATCACAGCTGAGCTCTGTCCTGCTCTCACCCAATGTCCACACTTTCGGCTGAGGTACCAGAGGGTTGTCAGCTCCCATCAACCATATTCTTTTCAGGAGAGAAAAATTGCAGGCAGAAAATTATGACAGCAACATACCTAGAGGGAAAGATATTAATAAATTGCATCGGCCTCTCTCTTGAAGTTTATGATGTCATTTCAAATATGGTGTTGCCTTGTAACATATTACAAATTCTATTGTGTTGTTCACACATACAGTGATTACACTTTCCAGTGATTCCTATGAAGCTCTTTGAGATGTCTTAGTGACGGGTTAAGGTCCTATATCAAATGAAAGAACTTGTTGCCACTTCCCTACGTATGACGTCACAATAATTGCTCTAATGCCCTAGCAACTTTCTCGTGATATCATAGAGCAGCTTATATACCGTTGAATATTAATCTACTGTCTAAAATAAGAATAATTTAAAAAAAATATAAACACTATTTCTACATTACTATTGGTTGTAAATTATAAAGCCACCTTTACGAGTGAAATGCAAATGGCATTTGATATATTGTTTTTTTGATTCTTATTGGGACGAAGGATCCTTTGTTGTTCTGCGCTGACAATAACTGGCATTATGGTAACTGACACACAGCTGAACACAAATACAACTTGTGGCATGTCCAAATATATTCCTGATAGTTACGTTCTAATGTCCGAATTCCGTGCTTGAGGAATTCAGAATTTTTAAAAAATGTTTTCTCCCTCAACCCCACTCCCTTCGAACCCTCGAGAGTCACCTCGCAGGGCTCGGATAGGCTCACAGCTCAAGGCGGATAACACACCTCATCAAACTGAGGAGGTTATGTCACATGACTTCACAATGAAACCCATGGCTACCCAAAGGCAAGAGGGTTTGGCCTTAGAGGGAAAGCTGTGCTGAGGGACAGAAGAAATAAGTTGAATGTTTCTCTGTGTGAGGGATAAAGGGGTAGAGGAAAACGACGAAAAACAACCACGTTCTTCAAAAATAATGAAATCTGTGAGCACTAAATTGAAATTTCTGTGCAAAGAGGGAATGTGTATTAACCATAGAAGAAAATTAACTCTCTGTAGGAGGGGAAACAGAGAGAAGGCCATTCAGAAGAGAAAATTGGATTTCAGACTGTGAGTAACCAAAGAGGTAAATCAAACCTCATAGCATTTGTGGTTACAAATAGAATTTGTTTCAGACCGAATGGAAGTTGTTGCAATTTCCAGCAAAAACAGCTCAAAGTTTGGCTTCTGAAAGGACAACATATAACTGGAAGTGTAGTAGTAATTTCCTTAATCGTGGTATTGTGAACTCAAACGTTGCAAGCCTATGATTCTGAAGGTTTGCTGGAAAAAACAAAATGGAGACGAGCAAAATGGACGATTTTTCAATTGCCCTGATGGACATTACTGTTGATCTGGATCAACACGTTTGCCAGCAAGTATCAGAGTCATTACATGCATTGGGATGCCATCAGCCAGAAGTGGTACTAATTGCCTGCCATGACTATCTTCTCTACCACAACAGTTTGGCACAGGGGCAACGTGCTATTATATTGCACAGTATGGAGCTGATTGTCAAGGACAATATCAACCAGATTGCCCTGCCACTGGCTCAAAAACTTATATCTATGGCTTCAGAGGAGATGACTAAATCAAAAGAAATAGTTCCTGAGTGGCAGGAAGCAGCAAGTAACCTCCTGGTTGCTCTGGGCTGTGGGTTTATTAAGGAAGTGGTGCATCAGATAATGCAATTGTTCCACCCAGAGACCATTCCACATGTCTACTTAGTGAAAACTTTGGGGAGTCTCTCAGTAGCAAATGATCATGGCATGGTGCCTTTGCTAAAGAACATTTTAGAAAGTATGATTCCATTGCTTATCCTAATAAAACAGGACCACGTGAAATCTGTGTTCACTTCAGCATTTGGTCTGTTTTGCAAGAGTATTTTTGAGTATCTGGACAATGCGGAGAAGGTTCCAGGCATTACAGTAACAAAATATACATTCTCTGATGAGATCAACATCATTTATAACATACTTTTCAACGTGTGGCTTCAGAAGAAAGAATCCAAGTTAAACATTACAATAGTGGAAGCTCTAGGGTACATCATTCCCTTGATGCCTAAAGAAAGACTAGAGGATGAGTTGCCCAAGTTAATCCCAGGAATCTTGTCCTTATATAAGAAACACTCCGAGCAGTTTTATATCAGTCACGGCCTGTGCCACGTACTGAATGCTGCCATGGATATGGGCAGTACAGTGTTAAAAACACAAATGGACAGCCTGTTTCAAAACCTACACCAACAGATCTGTGTTCCAGTGGATAATAATAACCATCTCGCTGCAAAAAATCACAATGAAATCCTTTGCTGTTTCACAGTACTAGCCCGAACTTATTCAGACTCACTAATTGAATTCATTCTACGTAAGCTGGAAAACAACAACCACCAAATCAGAATCGGAACCCTGGCTGTTTTGAAGCACCTCATTAATTCTGCCTCTTCACAGCTAGAGAATAAAAAGGCTCAGATTCTCGCTGGCATGAAACTGACACTTCTGGATAGTAACAATAATGTCAAGAAGATCATTTCCCAGGTAATTTGTGCCATGGCCCATCAAGGCTATCTAGATCTAGAAGGAGGAAAGACAATGGTGGAATTCATCATCCATCAGTGCGCTCTGCTCACTGATTCACAGAGCGTACCAACATTCAATTCTGATCCAGATAAGGTTACAGACGAAGAGTTAAGTAGGACATGTGAAATAATGATGTCTATTATCACAACTACAGTGAAGATGGAGGATGTTCTCTGGCCGTTCTTATTAGAATTTGTGACCATGATTCAATACACCAAAGCCTTGGCACCAGTGTGTAGGTGTTTGGCACATCTAGGAAAGAAGAAACAGCAAATCGGGAGTGAAAGTTTTTTTCTTAATTACGATGACAACCCAAATCTTCCTAAACCCCATGCACTGCTGACACGACTCCTTGTTGTCTCTTCTTGTCCATATCAAGGAGGAGGTCGAGGCGCTCCTGCTCTTAGGTTATTGCAAGTCATAAGTCTGAACATCCACCCAGCAACAGTGAGGGTGTGGGAAGAGGAGCTTCCACCTTTAGCCCATTATTTGGTGGAGAATTCAGAGGTGTCTCTTCCCCAGCAAGAATGGGAAGAGAAACTGTTGCTTCTTTTATCCAGAACTCTGAAAACAATTGATGATGAAGTGTGGACATGCCAGCTGAGTGAAGAAATGAGCAAACAAATTTACAGCTACTACAGTTACCCACAAGAGAAGGGGTTTCTGTACAAATGCCTTGGCATTGTGCTGAGGCAGTCGTGCAGCAAAAACATAAAGAAGGAACTTCAGCAAATGCTATTGACTGTTCAACACAATGAGGCATTTGAGAGAGAGGGTGTAGCTGTTGGAGTAGGTTTCTGTGCAATGAACCATTTTGATGATACCCTCAGTAGCCTGGAGGAGTTTTCTAACCTAGACAACATCTTTAAGAAAACCAAAACTTTTTTTAACATCCCGAAGGACAAGCCTGAAATTGATGTAGATAAAGTCAAGAGCACATTAGTGTTGTGTTATGGGTACATGACACTATATGCACCTGAGCATCTTGTTTTGTCTAGAATAGAGGCGCACATCCTGCCAGTTGTTATTAATCAGTTTGGTGCAAATGGGCAAGTGATGAAGATGTGTTATAAGGACTTCACACTAAGAATGAGCCTGATAAAAACCGTGACACTGATAGCCAGAGCCATTCTTTCCAACAGTGAGCGATCTTCTTTCATCCTGGTCAAAAAAAGGGAGCTGTTGTTATATGTTCAAGGTCTTATCAAGACTGAATCAACAGAGCAACTGAAGACACCTCTTCGACAGTCAGCAATGAATGCTTGCATGCATCTTGTACAACTAAACCCTCCGATAAATGAGGCTGACACATCCGAGCTAATTAAGATATGCTTAAAAGTGTCTTTAACTTGGTGCCTTTAGGACTTGACAAGTATAAGGAAGATGGAAACTTGGACATGATGGCGAGAGAGTTACTTTACACTGAAACAATAACCACTCTGCAGAGTTTTCTAAAGCAGATCTTACTCCTGGATTTGTCTCCGGGGGGTCTGCAAGCGATGTTCAACCACATTGAAGGGTGGATAACATCAACTAAGGATTATGAGCGAGAGAGAGCCATGGACATCACCTCAAAGCTGTTAAGGTTTTACTTGGAGGAGCTCAATGTGAGGAATGTGGTGGCATTCCATAATTTGGGAAGCCTCATTGGGCGCTTGGTGCCAAGATGCTTAGACCCATTGCTGACCACACAGCAGATGGCCATGGATTGCTTGTACATTCTTCTCTACATCCAATTATGCTACGAAGGTTTCGATTTGGATCAGAAAGATGAACTGGTGGAGCATCTGAAAACAATCCGACAACAGTTAGATGCCACAAACGGTGGCCCAGTCCTCTTTAAAGCATGTTGTGAGATTGCCGAGGTCATTTCGAAACGTTTGCCCCATGACCAGCTGAGCAATTTAATCTTTATGCTCTTAAATGGACTGGGTGACCAGCATCCCAGCTGTGCCAGTGCAGCCGCCATAGTCATGGACATTGTCATTAAAAGGCGTGGGTCTGGGCTTAGGGATCAGGTCTCAGAGATATTGAAAGTGCTGCAGGTTCAAATGCACGCAATCACTGAAAAAGCCGTGAGGCTTTCAGTGATACATTCTATTGCCATTCTGGCATCTCAGAACATGCCAGCTGTTCTAAACTGTCTCCTCACCTACCCTCTCCCATTGAATAAGTACACCAGTGACATATGGAAATCACTAGCGGAGGATACCTCATTGGCCACAAGTACCATCAAACACTTGTTGGACAAGTTGAACAAACAGCCACTGTTTGAGGAGAGAAGAGACTCCCCTATGGGCGATAATGCGATGAGGCATATTGCCTTTGAACCTCTGGCTGTGACTTGCGCTCTGCGTGAAATATTGTCTAAACCCGAGTCTGCAGAGGCTGTCAACAAATTGTACGCTCAGCTATTCAGCAGCTTAATAGTTCACCTCAGTTCCTGCATAAATGTGCGCGTGTCTAAAGATTTGCTTTGCAAACCGCTACCAAAGGAGCCAAATGACTCAGACCAGGTCACAACTGCCAAGAGCAGAGATGTTTGCATTTACTCGGTGGAGACGCTCATTGCCATGTTGAATCAGGGGGAGAATGAGGAAGTGGTGAATTATATGAAGGAGAAGGGAGGCTGGGATCTCATGATCGACCCACACAAATACCACAAAGGTGTTATTCTGCTGGCCAGAGCAATGGCCAAATACGCTGCCCCTCATCTAGTCGGTATTGTAGAACAGCTGGCACCTGCCATCCTCAATATACAAGAGAATCAGAAAGTCACTGTAGCTGCTTTCTTTGGAGAGCTGTTAAAACACCATGTAGTCTCACATTTGCAACTCACCTTCGTGCTTGTGAGCAGCTTGTTGAGATGTCTGTTTTACACCCCCCCTGTTGTCCGCTTGCTGTCCATAAGAGGCCTGGGTAACGTTGCAATCGGGGTTCCTCACAACATTGATAAATACGGCACCAAGTTACTCTGTGCGATGATTGCTGTGATGGACGAGAAAGACGACCCCAACGATTTCATAATGCTCGAGGTGATGTGTTGCCTCACCAAGCTCTTACAGCAGTTGGAACCAAACACTGTAAGACCCGTTCTGATCAAAATAGCCCTTGGGGTTCAGAACTTCTTTGAGACTGACAACGAGAAGGTGCGAGCTGCAGCATATACCGTGTTTGGAAACTTAGCTCGATTTGGAGATGGACATGCAAAGGCTTCTTTCCTAGAACAAATCCATTTGAGCCTGGTCAGCCTGCTGGTGCATCTGAATGAAAGCGGTGATGAGGTTGTCAAGGCTTGCAAATTGACGTTGCGCTTGGTGGTTCCACTCATGGGGTCTGAGAGTATGTCTATGAACGCGCACAAGTATTTGATGGGGGACATTCTGAACTATGGGGAGTTCATGAAGGACACTTCCAAACAACTCGTCAAAGACTTCCCTGATATGATCAACTCCTATGTGACCGGCTGCACGTTGTACTTCAAAAGACCTCAGCCTGAGATCAGAGCAAACGCAGTCATGTTTTCAGGGTTACTTCTCCAACGTCCATCGAAAGAATATTTCCAACCTGCCAAGCGGGTGACCTGCATGCAACAGTTGTGCTGCTGTGGTGTCAAGTGTCGGCCAGAAAGCCCAACCCAGGTCGGGAACTGATTCTCCTCCATCTGTGCTCCACTGAGTCGAAATACCTCTGGATAGAATGTACCTACATTGTGTTTGCAGAGGTTTTGCCCAAGACACAAACACTCCACGCATTCAAGATGCCTGCCTGTTCTTGTGAGCAAATTTATTGAAGCAACTGTGAATACTTTATTTTTCCAAATGGTGTTTGCTTTTTTTTATTTAGTAAAACAAAATCCTGTTTTGACACAGTAGTTATTTCTAGATCCTAAACAACAGTGGAGGGCCCATGGCTGACAAGTGACTGTGAAATATCCCAATCTGGATACAACCTAATAGAGAATTCCCGTGCAAATAAACATTTCCCTCAATTCATATAATTCCTCTGCAACAATGATATTTGTATGATTATGCTTTTCAGGCACAAGAAAAGCAGTTAATATAAAACCACGCATCCTTGTCTAAAACTCTGAGTTCTTTGTTCGAATAAATTAACTCGAGAGACCAAAAGCTGAACAGAAATCCAACTTTCAGTGATGAACAGTACAATACAAATACTATAATTTCCTTCCTGCACAGTTGTACTAAATTGCATATGTAGATTACCCTCTCTCATGCCTTATCTAATCACCATGATAGATTGAATAACCAGTCATTCCCACGTACACAGTATACATTTTACAATATGAACTGAAACAGTACAAATGTTACAATTAGGACTGAAGAATTTCTAGAGATGGACTTTGTTTAGGATCTTATATAAACAGTTACCAACACTGTGTGACAGTTATATGCTAAGTAGCATATGTTCATAACTTAGTTAATCGCGGCTTCTCAAAATAATAAACCTAATTTTGAAACAATTAACAACACAACATATTTACAAGTGTTTAACAACGTTTTATTAAGTCCCAGAGTTAAGCCCACAATTTGTTTGCTTATGCTCAGACTGCTTGTAAAGATATCTGTGCTCTTGGAGTGTAGGCACTCCTGACTCTGTTCACATTGGGGATTGCCTGGGTCAATAGAAAAGTGCGGAAATATTTGCCCCAAATTGTGGAGAGTTTCAGAAATTTTGCCGAAAATTGCGGAGAATTGATGGGTGCTATTGAGGTACATCTTACTGCCAACCTTTTCACGTTATTGATTAAAAACTAAACACGAGGAAATAACACACATTAGATGGTTGGAAAACATTTTTATTAATTTCTTCTTTAACAGTGGTGGGGGTGGGGGAGGACAGCAGCGCAGGCCTGGTGTGCTGTAAATTTCTACGTTTCTAATATAGATTTTGAAATGATAAGGGCACTATATACCATTTAGAAACGCCACCCACCCAAATCCTGTACATCTCTAACTCAACTGTAGGTGGCACCAAGTCACTGATTGAATTTCAGTAACTGAAATGATACCATGTGTGAAATAACATAAAACGTCAGAAATACAAAATATCTGAATTAGAAAGGTAAGTTAACATTTCGGGCACGATTCTTTATTGAAAACCTCCAGCTTTCTTTCTTCCTATCCGTAAGTGTGACAACCATGGTATGATACCAGTCCTCGGTTAACTTTGCAGACTCACCCGGATGATGAAGAGGATCATCAAAGCTGAGTCTGATCCTATTCAAACCAACTGTTCAATTCCGCTGACTCAAAGTGTTTCGCAGGATTTACTGCAAAGTAAGTATACGTTTTGTAGGGAAACTTGACGGCCCTTCGAGCACAGTATTGTCCTACAAACAGCCATGAAGTGAATAACAAATTTTGGTTGGTGATTTGATGGCCAAGAATCTCTCTTCTCTTTTTCAAATGCAATGGAATCTTTAACATACACCTGAACAGGCAGACAGGACCTTAGTTTAACATTTCACCTGAAGCAGGTCTCCACCAACAAAGCAATGCGCGCACCCTCACTACTGCATAGCGGTAACAGCTTAAGACTGACACTCCAGTGCAGAACTGGCAGAGTGCAGCATTCCCTGAGGTGCTTTTTTTTTACACGCGACAAACTCACAATAAACGACAAACTGCACAACGAGAGTTTGCATTTCAGGTATGGTGGCTCTCCCGGTATCCAATACCCATTGGCACCTTTGCATCACATTGCAGTAGGAACTAAACACCAGAGAGGGACCACAGGGCACACACCTTTATGCACATAATTGCCTTCCTTTTGGGTTATCTTGGCTGCCGCGTTTCACCCACAAAATGCACAGTCACTACCCTTTGCGGTATGTTCTGTGAAGCGCTTTGAGTCGATCAGAAGACGTGATCAGTAAGGCGCTGTATCAAATGCAAGGAGTATTATTATTATTATTATTATTCTGCAATAAAGTTTTAAAAGGCAGCAGTCAAGTTGCGTCGGGTACGTGTCCAGTTACCCGAGTCAGCGGCGGTGTCGGGGCCGTAGGTAATAACGTTCAACACAAAGATATACATTTTTTTAAGTTAAAGCCATCAAATTGACCTTTTTTTTTGGTTCATTTCACGACCAAAAACTCTGGAGCCACTCGCACAGACTCGGCCAATCAGATGCAGGGCCGCTCATGCAGGTTAAAGTCCCAGCCAATCAGGACCAGCCAGACATGAGTTACAACCAATCGGTGATCAGAGAGCCGCCGCCGAGCTCCTCCTCCTCCTCCCTCCCCCCACACAAACAGCCAATCAGAGCTGGGGACCTGGCTGTGGCTCCAGCCAATGAGAGAGAGCGAGAGGGAGGGGTGGGGGCTGCGGGCGCTCAGGAAGATGGCGCCGATGGAATGCGCGGAGCGAGTGCGAGACTGAGAGCGGCGGCAGGTACGGGGGTCACCGGGAGGAAGGCGGGGGGGCACCGGGTGGGGGTACCGGGGGGGGGGCAGAGAGCCGGTCCGGGCACTGGAAGGAAGCGCCGGGTGTTTAGCAGAGGGGAGCGGGGATGGAGGGGCGGCGGTGGGTTGGTGCTGGACCCGCGGACTGGGGGTCGGGGCAGTGACGGCCGTGAATGCGGAGGGGGGGCGGCAGTGATGGAGGAGTGAGTGGGTGAGGGTGAGGGGTGGGGGGCGGTATGTCACTGGGATCGGAGAGCCTGTGTATTGGTGCTGGTGGGGGGTGGGGGGGGGGGGCAGTGTGATTGGGGAGATCGGGTACTCGGCCCGGGGGAGGGGGCAGAGGGGGTATTATTATCTCGGGGGGGGGGGGTCCCCTAGGAGTGGGTGAACGACGTGCAAAGAGCTTGGAGCCTTTCAGGCTGTTACTGGATGGTTGGGGTGGGGGGAGAGAGGGAGGAGGAGGAAGAGGAGGGGGGAGGAAGGTTGGATGGATGGATGAGGCTGTGGTGGCGGATGAGCCCAGTGGCCCCCGGGGCGGGGGTGGGGCGGGGGTGGGGGGGGTTGCGCTTTCAGCCGCTTTCTGATGGCAGAAGCGAACAAGAAAGAGGTGAGGAGTGAGGGGCGCGGGGTGTCCCTGACCCACGGGGTGGAATTGGCTCCCCAATTGGGGGGCAAAACCCCAAACTTGGCTTTGTCGAAACCATCAGTGTTTTGTCACAACTTTTTATATATATATATATCTATATATATACATATCTATATATATATATCCCCCAATAAAGGATCCATATGAATGACCACGAAGGGGGTGGAGATAAGATACGGACCTTGTTTTACAAATGATTAACTTTGGCTCTTCGTTTCTGAATCCTTTCTTGCGGGGCCCGCTCTTGTTTTTTTTCCAAGAAAATTATGGATGGAAAAGTCCCTTGCTCCAAAGGAATTTCTTTTTTTTAAAAAAAAACATCATCGTCTCATTTACTGGTCTCGAGTTCTGGTCTAATGCTTTTGACAATGCTTTTGGTCTTGTATAATAGGTTACATTTGACACTTTTGGCTGAATTCAACGCCTGAATGAAGACCATTGTGGGTAGTAGTTTTCTTGGCATGTCCTGAGCCAGTAGAATAAACACCACCGATGACTTTCCGACTGCATTTTTCTGGCCTTAAACGTCATCTGTGCAGACCGCCGAATTAGTGTGGCAGTGATCAACGAGGGTTCGGTGGGCAGAATCTAACGTCATGATTCGCAAACTTTGAAACTATATGTGAACAAATGTGTGAACGCACAATTTCTGTGTTGCCTGTGGTGTTGTGGAATTTGAAATGTCAATGAAATGAATTCTGCAGCCTTGTCAACCTGGGATACTGCATGAAGGCTTTCAGTTGAAGAGGCTGTGCAGTATGCCAGAATTATCTGGCATAACTCAGCTCGTGAGATTCAAAGTCCGCACACTAACAAGTATTTGGGTTTTGAAGAAAGGAAGCTTCAGTAGATAAAGATTTTATTCCTGGTTGAGGTATATAAAAACATTATTTAACATAACTATGTTTTTGGAAGTCAACACTGAAGACTCATTGTAGAATTTGAAGACTTGGCCACTGATCATGGGGAGGGCAGGAGTTTGGTGAATGTGAGGATGCAGGTAGGGTTTTGGATATGTTGGAGCATATGGATGGTGAGCTAGGGAAAACAACGAGAGAGGAGTGCATTAGAAAAGTTCAAGCAACACGTGTGAATAAATGTTTCAAAGGCATTCAGTGTGAGATACGGGTGGTACTGAGAACTGTGGAGAAATTGGGATTGAAAAATAATTTCATAACACTGTTAACAGGTTTTTAAAGCGGTTAACTGACGTTTTGCTGGCTTTAGTTTTGTTATGAAGCTGCTGTATTTATTGCCTTTTCGACCTTTCAGAAATCTCGTTTTACAATCAGACGGAACGCACAATTTTAAATTATCAGTCATTAGAACTCTAGGGAAGATTATCTGATTACTGCAAGTGGCCGTTGAAGCCGATTCAATTGAGACATCTTAAAAGGGAATTAATCACACGAATTGTAAACGTATGAAAGGGAATTGTGAAGAGAAATTGAATTTTAGTCAGTAGGTTCAGGGGGGACCTGGTGTGCCATAGGCACATTAGCTTTTTCTGTGCTGAAGTTTCTGTGTAAACCGGGAGACTTTTGTACTATTTAGCACACTGCCTTTGGTGTTGGTGCTAGGTTATGAAGTAAGCAGCTTTGTTGCTTCTAGGAGTAGTTACCACTATCTTCTGAAGCAATCCTGGCTCCCGATGTCAGTAGGCTTGTATGTCTGGTTTCTGATCATGTGTACATGTAGTAATAGTCTTGCTTATGAGGGAGAGAGTGGTGGAGGCAGTGAGAAACCACATTTATCATGCTGATTCTGAATATTTTAAATTCCAATTGCAGCTGGTTTCCGATGTACCATAGGCAGGTTTCTGTCTAAACTACTGAGGGAGGGGGAGGGAGAGGAGCAGTCTAAAATGAGTCTGTGTGTGTGTGTGTATCTCTGGAGTGTTGCGTGGATGTGGGTGGGGGCTTAAGGAAGTGCAAGTTGCTTGGAATTCTAGGATGAAGGGTTGAAATGAACATCGTGAGCTCAATTGAGGTTTCCACACTACCATATTCAACATGTTGAACAGCCTCATTACCAGGCTGTGTGGATTAGAGCTTACATTGTCTTAATTGTAAAAAAAATTCAAAGGAATTGTAAATCGGTATGAAATCTAATGCACTTAATGCCAGACAGCATGTGGTGTGTGCGTGGTAGAGTTTTCACTGTTCTTTGTGAAGTTGATGATCAGCGAAAGTTTATTTATTTGCTTTTGCACTTTGCACTGAGCGAGTTGAAAATTTGATTGGAGCCCAGTCAGACGACAAGACTTCTTGTTTCTCTTAACTGCTGAGTTACTGATGTTTAATGCACTTTCTTTTATAGTCCGGCACTTAAATACATGATATGTTGCAGTGTGTGATCATAGTCCCTTCCCTCAGTACACTTTCTGCTCACAACTTTTATATTCTGACACTGAAATGCATGGTGTGTTGTAGTGTGTAATTGTAGGCACTAGAGGCTTCTGCCCAGGAACATGGATGGTATTGTATAAGGAATGCAAATGGCTTGAATTGGATATCGTGGTTCTTGACAAAAGAATACTGGGAACCTTGTCTAAATGATAGCTGACTCGATGTGGGTTAAGTAGGCTTTACTGTAAGCGTTTGGCTTCTTCGCACTGGAGCCCTTGGGCCGTGTACAGTGAAATATAGTATAGTATGTTGGTATCACACTATGTGGATTTGCAGCTGTGATTACTCCACACTGTGTTTTGATATTGGCTGCTTGCAGTCTGAACAAATCTGTTAGCGAGCTTCTTTGCTCATCGCTAACCCCTGCTACTTCCCAGGCCTGTTTCCAGCTGTACTAACTGAGTGGTCAGGAACAAGAAGGGAGGTAAGTGAATAGCAAAAAAGTAAACTAGTTTAGGAGAAAAGAAGAGGGGAATGTGAAAGTTGAGAGATCAAGAAAGTTGTAGAAAAAGTAAAATAAATTGAATTGTTATGCTGCTCTTTGTATTTGCTTGCAGATTGTCAAAGAACATTTATAAGTAATAATCCTTGCATTTGACACAGCGCTTTTCACGTCTGAAAAACGCTTCACAGAATATACTGTAAAGTGAATCGACTGTTTATTTGAGGGTGAAATCTGAGTGTCTCTTCCCTAAGACAAGAATCAGAATAATTTTGCATATTATGAATGTTGAATTAAGAGATTTATTTATAAATACAATTAGCAGACAATGTTACAAGAGAGAATGGATCAAAATGGCCTTTCAGGGAGGGATTTGTCCCATTGTGGCTTGGAATTGAAGTGGTTTGGTGCAGTACCCACTGTTTTAGTGGCCAACCACACAAGCCCAACCCTAGTTTCCACGACCAACGAAACAATTTGGGTTGTCATTTGGATTATGTGAAAGTTAGAACACTGTGGTTTTAAAGTATTTTTAACTTCTGTTTTTGCCTTGCACTTTGGCCTGTTGAAAGTTAACATGTCCCAGGCACTGTGTTCAGCAAAGTAAGGTTTTATTTAGGTTGTGCTGATTTTACTGTATTTAGGACTGAAATACTTGAGCCTTGTTGTGGAATATCAAAGCCCCATTTTAATAAAATATAAAAGATCCTTGAATTGCAAATTAGCCCATTATGTGAGTGGCTTCACAAGAATTTTTGTGTAGAATTTCAGGAATCCAATCACCTTGTGTATAGATTGCAGAAAACTGATGTCTGGGTTGTACCGTCTTTCACCAGGACAAGCAGAACAGCAGTAATAGAAGTCAGGCAGGAGGAAGTCTTTATTTAGGCATTACTCTTAGTTTTGGGCTTCACGTTTGTAGTAAGCATATCTGTGACCACTCCATTATATACTTTCCAGCCTGTTAATTTCCGCCAAGTTCAAAGATCTTGTACTCCCTTCCTAACCCTTATGGTAGTTGATCAGATCTAACTATTCCTGCATCCTTTGATCCCCTTTCCCAAGTGTCATTTGACCTAGAATTAATAACTTTTTCTGGGAGTCTGTTCTGCGTGTCTTCCAACCTGTGATTTATGACGGGCCCAGGAGTTTTCTGTTCTGGGTCTGTAATGTAGATCAACTCATAATCCCTCATCCATAAAGCAGGTTGTGGCTGCACAGTTTCAGAACATGTAAAAGTTTCTCGAATTGCTCCAATTCTTACTTCTAAGCAAAGTAAAATTGCTCCTCAGTGACTGCAATGCTTGTTAGGCTTGTTTGCAAAATCAATGTTTGGTGTCATTTGGAAGGATTACCAGCAGACTGGAGGAATCAGCTGGCACAGCTTTCATTCAAGGCCCAAATGCCCTCCTCTGTGCTCCTGATGTAAAGGATACTGTTGAATTTTGCACTGTAACACAAAGGGAGTTCAGGGCTGCACCAAAATGAACATTTGTTGCAATTTTCATTTTCTAAGAACGTTGTAGAATTAAATGAAATTCTGTGACTTTTCCTGCTTTATGTCCATTGCGTAACTTTTTTATTGCCAGATTTTCTGCACGTTGAGGGTTTAAGAGTCAGCGAAGATTAATGTGCGTGCTCAGCTTCCCCCCTTCGCTTTCAGCTGTATTGGATCATAATGGGCTGCACAGCATTATATTTGTGTGGTGTGCACACACTTTAATTTGGCAAAAAAAGATTTTAACACTTGACAAGAAAAGACTGTACTGAGTTGCTTACATTCACCAGCTTTGGCTTAGCGCTGGTTATTGGAATGCTGACAGAACTCCAGAAATATAATTTTCTACTTGCCAGTAAGCATGTTTTTTTTTCTGACACTGCGACTTCTTTGATTAGGTGTTCCATTTGACTCTATTTAGTAAATTCTTGGAGCCAGCTAATATGGGTCCTGGCACTGGGCAGAGATGGTGCCTTGACCTTGGGTGAATGACTGGCTACTACACCAGAGAGATAGATTTAAAGCTAGAAGAGTATTGTCAATGGAATTCAAGCTTCGTGCCTGTGAGCCGGTTGGCCCTTGTTGCATAAACTTTTTGTTTCGCCAAACAAATCTTTTGTTTTTATAATTTTCAAGCAAAACATCCTTTGCAAGAATCGAAATCTAAACTTTCCACGACTGATTGGCTAACTGACTGGTTCCCCACCCCCCATCTCAAACAGTGTGAACACTTGGCCAGGATACTAGGACTTAGCCTGTTGTGAGCAGACTTTGCAAACTGATTCTTCCATTTACTCCTTTGTAAAAGAAATTAATATAATGAAACTGTTCCTTAATGTGATCTGGTGAGGGTGGCTATTTCCCCATTTGGTGGACCAATTTGACTCCAATTTAACTCAGGCTATTTTTACATATATTCTAGTTATTATTCATCTTGCGGACCGAGAGAGAGAAAAAAGGATCTTTTTNAATAATTGTCTTCTAACACTTTCAATGACCTCTATAGCGATTTCAGCATTGTTTAAAGTGTATTTATTCATGCATCGTCTTAGGTAGTAAGCCATCGATTAGCAACTTGAAACTGAGCCAAACAGACCAGGCATGCCTCAGTCCTGATCCCTGGTTTAGCTGACAGAATTCGAGTTGTCTCAACTGCCCTGTATTTGAACAATCTGCAAAACACTTAAGCTGATACCTGACTGACTACTTGGATGAGGTATCAGAGAATGGCTTCCTATACTTGTAGAATTGTAGGGGGTGCGGGGGGAACCGTCATAAATTCCTTTCATGAAACTTGTTTTTTCTTTTTGCTAGATAGAATACATCCATTGCCTGCTGGCGAGCAATGGAGGAGGAGGTGGAAGGAACCTATCGGCTGCTGCAGACTCCTGGAGCTCGACTTGGAGCCCAGACAATACCAGGGGTCAGCACGCTGGAGCCACAGCAGAGTTTATCCTCAGCTTTGGCAGTGGCCTCACCCAAACTTCGGGGGAGAAGGATCCAGCTCACGTTGCGGTTGTTGGATAACACAGAGGAGCAGTTTGAAGTAGAGGTAAGTAATTAATGTTTTCACAGGTTCATATTTATATTACGCCTTTTTGAAAAAAAAGATTAAATGGCCAGTTCTTAGTGCAGTTGACAAATTTTGTGGGATTTTTGATTTTAACTACTGACAATAATAATAATCCTTGCATTTGATATAGTGCCTTATCATTGTCTTTGAGACGTCTCAAAGTGCTTCACAGAATATACTGTAAAGGGTAGTGATTGTAATAGTTACACCCTTCAATAGGTATCAAAGTTGCTTGATCTCTGGACACACGACAGAAACTACAACCTGCAGATGTACGAAAGCTCTTTGGAAAAATGTGGAACTGATCATCTCTAGGCTTATGTAGATCTGGGCAGAAATACTGCCTGTGTAATGTATGAGCAGATAAAGTATGTCAGCTGACACTGAATGCCACAGTACATTTGATTTGAACATTACTAAATACTTGCAAAGAAAATAACTCATTGAATTTGTGTAGAATGAAAAATGACCAAGTGAGTATCCTTGTTGAAAAGTATGCACATTACACTGTTCCGAGATTTAACTGGCTGCAATTTTTCCTTGTATAGACATCCTAAGCAAGCCAGAAACCTTTGTGTCTTGATTTGCATTGTGACCTTTGCTCTATTAATCTGTTTCCAATGCTCTGCATTGCTTTTCTGCAACATGCCTCTAAAGCAGCAGCAAAGATTCAAGTCTCAGTTCTTCCACATCAGCAGTTTTAGAAAGTAGTTTTTTTTTCCTATAAAATTGAAGGATTTAATCCAAGATACACACATTTTAATTTTCTCTATGGTTTGTGTAGGTAAGGTGAATGTTCTACCCCTGTTCCAAACCAAAGACTTCTCTGCAGCTTTTTTTTTTACGCAGTTATGTGGAAGGAGGGATGGAGGTAATTGTTTGGAAATGAGCCCTTTGTACTCCAGAACCGAGACTTTCAGTGCACCTTTTCTATATGCTGCTATTATGTGGATGTGATGATTCTGAAGTGAAATATGCAGACTCCCTTGAGGGGGGGGGAGATCTGATTTCCTGGTTGCAATTTAAGATCAGGAGGCTGGTTCCGTTACCAAGAGATCACATAGCATCGTTTTACGCTTTGTTTTTTCCCTTTCTGTTCAACATACACCTCTTGGTAGCCGCACTGAAGTTTTATTGCAGTCCGCCCCTCCTTTTAAAAACTCAGCAGCTTGTAGTAATCTGGAAGTTGTTAAGTGTATCTTGCCTTCAGTCAGCGTTTCCTGTCCTTTTCACCCAGCCTTTATAAGTAAACCTAACATTTTCAAGGCAGGCTCTGGCAGCTGTTGGCTGCTTTCTTGTTTTGATTTGTTCTTTGACATGGTCAGCCCACAGGTCCAAATTGAATGTTGGTAAAAAAAATGTTCAACTTTGATGATTTTTAGGAAAATTGTACTCTAGTTTTGTGGAGGCCTGTTGTGTAGCATGGTGTATGGTTACCATTTAAGCACTGGGTGTTGAACAAACTGCTTTGCCTTTCGTTCCCCTGGCCTCTCTCCCCACTGTTCAACTATAGACTTAAATGCTTAATGGGCATTACGTGTGACTTCCTCCATGCTATTAAAAAATGCTACATGAGCCACATCATGCATCAAGCCTACACTGAACATCAGTTCATCAGCATCAGAAACACTGTCCTCATAAACAACGTTTCTCTGGTGGGATGTGGGAAAGTATAGAGTGCTGACGATTCATGTAATGGCCATTTTGAGTAATGCTTCTGGCAAAACAGAGTTAATGATGGTTGTCATCATAATAATCCCAATTTGATGTAGCACTTACGATGTCAACATCTCAAAGCACTTCAGAGTTTTCTGTCAAGGATAGTGATTGTGTATATGTAGAGCGGTCCTCTCTGTAAACTTGACCTACCCATTCTGTATGTCGTCAAGTAATCTTAGCAGCAAAGAGGAAATGCATATGGAGACTTGACAGCCTGCGGTCCTGGTAAGTGCTGTTCATTCAGTTAATCGCCATAAAGGAATATCACTTTTTTTAAAGAACAAGCACAAGTCCATTGGTGAAGTGGAAGTGCGTAAGGTTTCTCTCCTTCAAGGCTAAAGATCATAGGAGTTTCCAGTGAAACCTAGAAAATGTGCTCTTGATACCTCTGGGATCTGCAGTTGCTTGCTGCTGGAGCTCTTCTAAAAGCGATTTAATGGGAATTCCATGTGTTTTCATGTTTATTACTAAGCAAACAGATTTCCCTTTTTCCCAAGTGGCTGAACTGCTGTGTTGAGCTGAGCACGGTCAGTCTATCGCCTCTGACCAGCTCTGCTGTCTGCAGTACCCGCTTGTACTCTTATCTGAATATACTTTGGAACTCTCAGTAGACAGTGTGTAGATTGTCAACACCTGTCACAGCTACAACCATAACTGAGGGGCCCTTCAGTCCTTAAAAGCTTTACTTGACTGCCAAGAAAAAAATTCTTAGATCATAATTTCAGCCAACTGCCTTTGAAAAATATCCAGCAGCAGGAACAAAATCTCTAGTCTGAACTGAAGGCTGTTCATTCCCTTTAATGTTGAATCTGTGAATGCTTCTAGTTTGCATGTTTAAATGGCAGTAGAATAATTGGCAGGCTCCATGATTTTTTGGGTGGAAATGCAGCCTATTTGTTTGCTTTTTTTTATAAAAGCATGTTTTATTTATTTCAGTTCCATCTTCGTTCCTACTCTTCCCTTCTCTGAATTGCACGTGCTATTCTCCAGGTGGATGTGTGAAGGTGCCATAGGGTGAATTGTGTTCTGAATTTCGACTTGTCTCATGGGACTGTGTCTATCCTCTATTTGAGAGTTAGGGTGAGATCCCCAGTCATGCTAACTTAGTGCTGCGCACTGACTTATCAAACCATTGCATGCTAAGATATATGAACTTCCTTAGAAAGCTATATTTGATACAGCATCTTTCACATCCTGGTTGAAAATGTGCTATGCCTGTACGTAATGTTTACAACTTTAACATTTCTGGCTTTTTTTCGGCTCCACTTCTCCAAAAAATATTCCTGTATAAATACAACAGCAGCCAAGATAACTATTACTCCAGTCAAATGTAACTCTGTAAAGGCTTGAGAGCTCGCAACTGGTGCAGAAAAAATAATTCCCCTTAATACTGCATGACATAAGCTCCTCCCGGTGCATGAAAGGTTTAGAGCAGTAATTTCATAACCAGGGGCTGATTTAATCGTGAATGTTTTTTCTGAAGATAATAATAATAATACTAATAATAATCCTTGCATTTGATATAGCGCTTTTCACGTCGGGAGGACGTCCCAAAGAGCTTCACAGAACACACTGTAAAGTGAATTGACTCTATATTTGTGGGCGAACGCGGCAGCCAATTGCGCACAGCAATGTCCCACAAACAGTCGTAGATTGAAAATGACCAATTTATTATTGTTTTTTGGTTTTGGAGGGATTATTATTAGGAGTGTGGAGTAAGGAAACTTGCCCAAGGTTTCACCCTCTGCCTGGAATTGAACTCAGGTCTCTCACTTGCAAAGCGAGTGCTCTAACCACTGAGCTACAGGACTCCACAATGTTCATCTTTGCTATGGTGCCTGTATACGTCGGTGAAGTACAATCTTTTTCTGTACTCACCTGTATCGTAGACCTTTCCATCCCATTTTCTATATGATCATGGCTCTCACCTGTAAAGACAAACCAGAAAATCAGCTTCAGTGGTTTTCTGTGTGAATTCAATGGGTGGTACAGTATGGACCAAAATCTTCCAGTTTAATTGTTCATCTTGGCTGGTTAGCAGTGGGTGTTTGAGTTGACCTCAGTGTTGCTGAGCTCGGAGGAACAATCAGCTTGAGATTCAGTTATAGATATCTAATTAGAGGTATTTGCTAGAAGCTGTGGCTATTTGGTGAGAATAAGACTGTCTTCTTCCTGCCAGATGATTGAATAACCTACTGATATTCACTGTCTAAGATTGCATTTAAGGAATGATCAGCGAGCTGGTGGCACATCACTAGATAAGCATTATACATTAGGTGAGTCACGACCTAAAAAAGGAAGTAGGGAAGTTGGTGGATAAAAGAAACCTAAAGATAAAGCTGATTGGAGAATGGAACCTGTGCTAAGTAAAGATCATGGAGGATGAAGAAGGAAGTCAAAATAAATAATCCAACTTTCAGTTCTGGTATAATCCTGAGTGATGCATCTTGTTGTGAAGTTTGATGTGTGGTTTCCTGGAGGTCAATGTGGTGCTCTTTATAATGAGTCCAGAGTCCCTGCAGAGTTCAGCAGGAAGTCACGCAGTTTAAAGCCATGTTGCTGTGGTGGAACGGTGTTTTTTTTTTCTGCGTTTGCGATTTGTGTATATGACACGGTATTGTTACATTGTTGGGTACAGGGGTTTTGTTGATTTGAGCCCCACATCAAGGCTGCATCTTCCAGTTTAAGCAGCCATTAAAGATCCCACGACACTTTGAAAGAGCAGTTTGTTCTCTCAGTTTTTCAGCCAACACAGCTCGCTCAAACAAAAAAACAGATCAATTTTGTTCATCCATCTCATTATTTGGGAGTCAGGCGAGCCACGTGGGCGTTTGGGAGACGTGTATGAACAGGAAGAATCTGTTTTCTCAGGTCTGGATGAATCCTGTAAAAGTGGCCTGTTTCCAAAGGACGTTTTATCCATTGGTACTTAATTATGTTGAGCGTTTGCCAGCCAAGTTTCTGTTGCTGCTGAAAGAGTACGGTGGGGAAAGGAAAGAGGTGACTTTAGTACTCTGGAGAATACAAGCAGTAAGTAGGAACTCGGTTGTTAGTCGATTGGCGAATCGCTTTCCGAAGATAATAATCCCTTCAAAAAGAAACAAAATTTTGGTCACTCAATGCACGACTATTTGTGGGACACTGCTGTGTGCAATTGGCTGTCACTTTTCCTTAAACATGTAGGCAATTCACTTCCTACTTCATTCTGTGAAGCACTTTGAGACATTGCAACGAACATGATACGGTGCTATATATGCAAA